ATGCCACCTCCACTGCCACCTTGACCGTCACCGTCACCACCACCTTGACCGTCACCACCACCGTCACCGTCAAACAGGATTCCATGTAGGTGGCATGGAGAGCGACCATGCCACCTCCACCACCACTGCCACCATCACCGCCACCATCTCCACCATGGCCACCACCACCATCAACTGGGATTCCATGTAGGTGGCATGGAGAGCGACCATGCCACTGCCACCGCCACCTTGACCGTCACCGTCACCACCACCTTGACCGTCACCACCACCGTCACCGCCACCGTCACCGCCACCTTGTCCACCACCGCCACCGCCACCGTCGCCGTCACCGCGGCGGTGACCCCACCTCCACTCGGCTTCCAGGTGGAGGCACTCGTACTTGTCGTGGACCTCGCCCACGGTCAGCGCGGGGTGGAGCCAGTGCGTCTCGTCCGACTTGACGTGCTTGAGGCGCAGCCCGAAGCACGCGGCCAGCCGCACGTCCGGCCCCAGGCGGCCGCTCTGCAGGATGGAGCCGATCACCTCCTGGGAAAACGGGAATGTGGGACGCTCGGGGAGGGAACCGGGATCGGGTCCCGTCCCACTGCCCAACGGGAGACAGCGTGTCCTGGGATTCTCTGGGAAAACGGGAATGTGGGACGCTCGGGGTGGGAACCGGGATCGGATCCCGTCCCACTGCCCAACGGGAGAGAGCGTGTCCTGGGATTCTCTGGGAAAATGGGAATGTGGGACGCTCGGGGAGGGAAACGGGATCGGATCCCGTCTCACCCACCGCCCAACGGGAGACAGCGTGTCCTGGGATTCTCTGGGAAAACGGGAATGTGGGACGCTCGGGGTGGGAACTGGGATCGGATCCCGTCCCACCGCCCAACGGGAGACAGCGTGTCCTGGGATTCTCTTGGAAAACGGGAATGTGGGACGCTCGGGGTGGGAACCGGGATCGGGTCCCGTGCCACCGCCCAACGGGAGACAGCGTTTCCTGGGATTCTCTGGGAAAACGGGAATGTGGAATGCTCGGGGTGGGAAATGGGATCTGATCCCATCCTGCCCCACCGCCCAACGTGAGACAGCGTTTCCTGGGATTCTCTTGGAAAACGGGAATGTGGGACGCTCGGGGTGGGAAACAGGATCTGATCCCGTCCCATCCCACGGCACAATGGTGAGACAGGGTTTCCTGGGATTCGCTGGGAAAATGGGAATGCGGAATGCTCGGGGTGGGAAACGGGATCTGATCCGTCCCTTCCCACCACCCAACGTGAGACAGTATTTCCCAGGATTCTCTTGGATAAACGGGAACACAGAACGCTCGGGGTGGGAAACAGGATCTGATCCCGTCCCATCCCACCGCCCAACGGGAGACAGAGTTTCTTGGGATTCTCTTGGAAAACGGGAATGTGGAATGCTCGGGATGGGAACCGGGATCTGATCCCATCCCATGGCACAATGGTGAGACAGCGTTTCCTGGGATTCTCTGGGAAAACGGGAATACGGAACGCTTGGGATGGGAAACGGGATCTGATCCCATCCCGTCCCACCGCCCAACGGGAGACAGTATTTCCTTGGGATTCTCTGGGAAAATGGGAATGTGGGACGTTCGGGGTGGGAACCGGGACCTGATCCCGTCCTGCCCCACTGCCGAATGGTGAGACAGAGTTTCCTTGGGATTCTCTGGGAATTCCAGCCCAGCCGGGAATTCCTGCCCAAGATCCCAAACTCCCAAGCTCCCCTTTCCCACTGGGAATTCCATTCCCTGGCTCCTGCCCCTCCAGCCCTTCCCCAAATTCCAGCTCTCCCGGAGCCCCTTGGGGATCGGGAAGCGGCTCCAAGGATTCCCTGGATCCTCCCCCGATCCAGGAGAACATTCCCGGCTCTCCCAGCCTGGCATTGGATCCATCCTGATTCTTCCTGGAGAAGGAATTTTGGGATCCAGGGGCTTCATTGGGAATTCGGGACTCCAGGAAGGGTCTCCCTTCCCTTTTCCATCCCTGAATTCCATAAAAATACCTCGGGATGGATCCTGAGTGTCCTTGATCCCAGAATTCCCAGAATGGTTTTGGGTGGGAATGGACCTCAAAACTCATCCAGCCCTGAATTCCCAATCCCAGTCCTGTAATTTCCAACCCCAGCTCCGAATTCCCAATCCCAGCCCGGAATTCACAATCCCAGCCCCGAATTCCCAATCCCAGCCTGAAATTCACAATCCCAGCCTGAAATTCCCAATCCCAGCCCAGAATTCCCAATCCCAGCCCGGAATTCCCAATCCCAGCCCCGAATTCCCAATCCCAGCCCCGAATTCCCAATCCCAGCCCTGAATTCCCAATCCCAGCCCGGAATTCCTAGTCCCAGCCCCGAATTCCCAATCCCAGCCCCAAATTCCCAATCCCAGCCCCGAATTCCCAATCCCAGCCCCAAATTCCCAGTCCCAGCCCCGAATTCCCAATCCCAGCCCCAAATTCCCAATCCCAGTCCCGGAATTCCCAATCCCAGCCCCAAATTCTCAATCCCAGCCCCGAATTCCCAATCCCAGCCCGGAATTCCCAACCCCAGCTCCGAATTCCCAATCCCAGTCCCGGAATTCCCAATCCCAGCCTGGAATTCCCAATCCCAGCCCGAAATTCCCAATCCCATCCTGGAATTCCCAATCCCAGCCCGGAATTCCCAACCCCAGCTCCGAATTCCCAATCCCAGCCCCGGAATTCCCAATCCCAGCCCCGATCCCGCCCTTTCCCACCTACCCGGATCTCCGTGGCCACGGAGCACTTGACCAGCTTGAAGTTCTTGCCCAGGTTGAAGCTGTTGCTGTAGAAGCAAACCTTGAGGATCCGCGTCTCCTCCTGATCCCGGTGATCCTGATCCCGATCCGGATCCCGAGGATCCCGAGGATCCCGAGGATCCGGCGTTCCCGCGGGCTCCAGGGTGCCGGGAAGGCTGCGGGAGGAGCAGCTCCGGGGGCGTCCGGGGGGCTCGGGAATGGCGCTCATCCTCGGGAGAGCCGCGGCACCCTCAGGAGCCGAGCATCCCTTCCCTGCGGAATTACGGACCGGGGAAATGGGAAAGGGGAAAGGGAAAAGGGGAAAGGGAAAAGGGGAAAGGGAAAAGGGGGAAAAGGGGGAAA